ATATCTTTTTTTTTTTATCGTCTTTTTTTATTATTTAAAATAAATAACTGTTGTTTTCTACAATGGTTCATGTGAATTTGGGTTGTGTCATAGCTTTTCGTATATTCAAGCATATTTTGTCCTAAATTTTTTAATATCTTTGGTGGATGAAATAAATTTGTGAGCGACTTATAAACTTGTATTATAAAATTAACGTGTACTAACATGTATTTGATGAATACATAAGCATTCTTATATTTTTCACAATATTAAATTGGTAATCAACAATGATTAAAAAGTAAAAAAAATTTATTTAAAAAGTGGTAACTAACAATTGTCAAGCCAAAAATAAGATAGGATTGGATAGGATTCAAGGATAAAATGGTCAATTAATGTCAAAGGAATTAAATCTTTAATAAAAAATTATAGTTTATTCATATCCCAACCTCTTGGTAATGCATTATCCGAAACAATGATTGGATAACACAATTTTCTTTTATCCCCATACATAGCCGCCCTATTGGGATTTCACTGAATTAGTTTGGGATTTAAATCAAATCCAATCCAATCCAGTCCATTCATGAATTGCCAAACACACCCTATAGGGATTAGGACTTAGCTTTCGGACAGCATATAAATTTTGCTGATTCTGTCCTAGTCTTCGGAAGACTGCCACTAGTTTTTGAAGCACATGAGAAATTTTTTGTGGTACTAGGGTAAGGGTTCGAAGAAGTTTTCAAGGGTGGAAGAAGCATTTTATGTTCATGACAGGGGAAGCAGTTCGGATCAAGATCCGGCAACCCCAGCCTGGGCAGGTATAGGCATTGGTCACTGACTAGGGGGCTGGGCTTCTTGTTCATGGCAGAGAGTTCTTCTAAAGCCACATTAGCCTAGGTCTTTGACTAGTGAGTGGGCTGGTCTGTGCCGGCTCAGCCCATTATCCACTCTTACCTGGAACCCAATACTATGCTATGGCCACTGGAGATTACAAGAAAAAGCTGCGGCCTTCGTCAAGGAATTTACCTTCTTTACAGGAAGGCAATTGTCCATCTCTGCACTTGCCAAAACTTAGTATTAGTCGTAATGTGAATCTAGCTCAAACTGCCATTCAGTTTTTCGTCAGAAATTGAAACACATGAGTTACAAGTGTTTCAGACATAGACTTATATGTAAATTTACAAAGTGTTGACATATCACGTAAGTTATATATGATAGGGTTAGCCTCTGTCTACATAAAACAATGTCAAATTAATCATAAATGAAGATCTACACCGATTGATATACTGCATTCTCATGCTTGAAACGCTTGCATCTCACACATTTCAATTTACGGTGAAAACATGAACGGTAATCTTGGTCAGGAATACATTGCTACGCCTCAGTAACATTGAAAGCTGTCTAAAGCATTGAAAAGTAGTATAAAATATGTTAACAATTGAATTCAGCACGTTGCTTCTTGTTGTCAATTTGCACTTTCAACATTCAATGAAAAGAACTTGTGACCATGTAACCCAAAGGCCGACAGATCAATTAAACCCAGTTCACAACCAACAATTTGGCACGTAGACCTTTTGTTCAAGAAAATATTACTCTACCAACTTGGAATCTTACCAAAAAAAAATTTGATTTAGGTTCCGACCTCATGAAATTAAGTTAAAAACCAATAAGTTATTACAACTTATTAAGATGGATCTTTAAAAAAAGTGGTTTGATTCTAATAATTAGCTGACATCAATCTCTAAATTATGAATCAATCTTAACTCAATCCCATTAAATATTAATTTAATCTATTTAACTCGTAACTAAACCTGTTTACATCGAAACTTTTAATTTTTCGATACATTACAAACTTCCTTAGCTAAATAAATCTATCCATTAAAATGATCTAACTCCATTAAAATATTCGGAGATGAGCCGGGGATTATCGTCTGGTAAAATGTCCATCTAATAACTGTGAAGTAGCAAATTCAAATATAAGGGCAAACACTTAATTGTGTTAGATGTCAAACATTAGGTTTGTACTCCATCCACCATTTCCTGTGCCCAAAGCTTAATTATAAGTAAGGATCAAACCAGAGAGTATCATTTTCCTATAAACTTAGATACTCGCAAAACTAACCTAACTACAATGACAATAAGTCTAAAAATCTCAGTATTTTCTTCCTTACTTATGGTTGTTTAGCACATTTCCGCTATTTACATTTATTTTTATTTAATTTGCACATTACGCTCAATAATTTTGAAATTTTTTGTGCGTGTGCAAATTTAAATGGAATGTGCAAACTGAATTCAAATTTAAAAGTTGAGAGTGCACTACAAACCTTAACCATTAGTGGAAATGCTAAAACAAAATAGATGAAGTTCAAAAGTTGAAGAGCTTATGGTAAAAGCATGATCAATAGCCGTTATTAATTTCCCCTAACAAAGATTGAAAGCAAAATATGTAGATTAGACAACACTAAGAAGCTCAGAGCCACGTTGTGGCCTGCTCTCAAATTCAATTTTCGTCATATTAATTTTTATGAACTTATTAAACAATGTTAAGTCTCCCCCAAAAGTAGCGATATATTCGATTTGGCCCCTTCACTTCAGATTTCTTACTCGCCACAAAATAAGCTCATTTTAGTAGGAAAATTGAAATCATTTTGCATTGATATAAATTAAAAGGATGAAGGCTTCACCATTAGTGTGTTTATTCGGCATACCTTTATTTGTACACCAGTGTTTTTGTTGTTGATATGTCATATTACTTAGAGTATTTGTCGATACCAATTCTATTGTTAATTAGAGGGTTCTGCACATGTTCACGACACTTGTATGTATGATCGCAAAAGAGTGAGATAGGCAAGAGAGGGAGGAAGAGGGAGAAATGCATATGCGAGTGGGATGAGGTCAAGAGAGATAAACTTATAATAGTTATGACCGTTGAGTGCTGTTAAAAGTGAAGTCATGCATGGGTGATTAAGAGGAAGAAGCGGGGATATTGTAAGAATTATATTGGAATAGACACCAACCCCCTCTCTTCTTTTATTAATAACTGGCGGCCTACACACGGTTAACTGCGTGAATGTGATTATAAGAAGGAGTGAGATAGGAAAAGTTAGGTTGAGAAATATATGAGTGATAAGAAACTAAGAGATGTAGGTAGTGGGTTAAAAAAAGAATGATTGGTGGTTATTTGAAAAGAAATGAAACGAAGTAGCAAAATATAAACAAACATGATTAAAAAGCGAGTTATTGACAATTATTTAGGAAAACATGGAGGATATAGACATTTTATGAATGAACACCAAACTCCACACCCTCTCAATCATAATACGAGATAATAAACGATGGGAACAAAACAAGTAAAAAAAAAAAAAAAAAATTCTCAAGTCTACCCTATCATTTAGTTTTTTTTTGTTTTCTTTTTCTCTTTTTATATTACTGTTATGTAATTCACTTTTTTTTTTACTGTTATCTAATTCACTGTCACCTTAATTTAGGAGACAAGTGGATAACTTAATGCAACATAATTAAGTAACACCACCAAATAGTAGTCTTCAATAAACAGAGAAAAAACTACATTTAAATACTGTATTATCATGGGAGGACAAAACTTGTATCCTAATGCTATGGAGATTTGATCAAGTTTGACTAAGCCTTTCCTAATGTTGACCTCAAAAGATCCGGATCGATCCTCTCAGGTTTAGAGTGTGTCAAACTTTGAAAAATCAATCATACAAAGTTGTTAGTTAAAAAAATCGTATATAGTTGAATTTAGCAGACTCGACAGATGATTTTTTTTCGGACCTTCAATGGAATCCAATAAATTTAACTATCGACGATTGAACTTCTCGAATCGCATTGGTTGGGTCTGGACATAATGGTAACGTTGTCTATTTTGCTATGGGTATTATTGGTTGGAGTCTTAAAATTATACTCTTTACGAGCATGAGTCAAATAAACGTTACATGAATTTAAAATGTTGACTTGATTTGTTAATTTGATTAATCATTGACATTGATTTAATTATAGGTCCTATTATTTATTTATATTCACTACATATTCAATAATTATGATCTAGGGCAGATGGTGTTGCTGTCATCACAACAAGGTAGTTCTTTTCCCTACGCCTTGTTAATATTTACCTGCCCAGCAAATTCTTTATGCCTCATGCAATAAACTATTATTCCACCTTTTCTCTCGGGCACGTATATATATATATATATATATATATATATATATATATATA